CTCCAGACTCTGGGACCTTGATTTCCAAAGGACATGCAAAATTTATTTTCATCAGAGAACATAACTTTGGACCACTCAGCAGCAGTCCAGTCCTTTTTTGTCTTTAGCCCAGGTGAGACGCTTCTGATGCTGTCTCTTGTTCACGAGTGGCTTGACACAAGTAATGTGACAGTTGAAACCCATGTCTTGCATATGTCTGTGCATGGTGGTTCTTGAAGCACTGACTCCAGCTGCAGGCCACTCTTTGTGAATCTCCCCCACATTTTTGAAAGGGTTTTGTTTCACAGTCTTCTCCAGGGTGCGGTTATCCCTATTGCTTGTACATTTTTTTCTACCACTTCTTTTCCTTCCCTTCGCCTCTCTATTGATGTGCTTGGACACAGAGCTCTGTGAACAGCCAGCCTCTTTAGCAATGACCTTTTGTGTCTTGCCCTCCTTGTGCAAGGTGTCAGTGGTCATTTTTTGGACAACTGTCAGGTCAGCACTCTTCCCCATAATTCCGAGGGACCATTTAAAGGCCTTTGCAGGTGTTTTGAGTTAATTAGCTGATCAGAGTGTGGCACCAGGTGTCTTCAATATTGAACCTTTCCACAATATTCAAATTTTCCGAGATACTGAATTTGGGATTTTCATCAGGTATAATCATCAAAATTAAGAGAAATAAGCATTTGAAATATATCGGTCTGTGTGTAATGAATGAATATAATACACAAGTTTCACTTTTTCAATGGAATTACTGAAATAAATAAACTTTTTCATGATATTCTAATTATATGACAGCATCTGTATATGTGTCTTGATAGTGGTGCTTCAGTGAAATATGTGCAGAGGTTTGTCTGAACAATGTTACAGGGGCGCTGAGTCCTCATACTCTCGGCTTGCGCCCTCTTTCCAAAATGCCGATTGAACCCTGTGTTCACACCAGACACGAGCAAGATCATTCGTGTGAATGATTTACATGTAAAGTCAATGTGAAGACGCGATTAGATGCGAGTAAAGGTCCCGCGGCGCAATTGACGCAAAATGAGCGAGTTATTCGCACGAATGACACGATTCTAGCTGCGTTGCGCGCGTATCGTGATACTGATCCTCTCCAACAGGTAGTCAAACTGGATCCGGATCAGCTGAAAATAGTGCTGGAAGCGGCCGTCATCCAGGCGCAGCTCCTGGAAAAGGCGGGGGGAATTCCCCGAGCTGCAGTGTACATGTATGATAGGGTCACCACTCCCCACACCAACCCCCCCTCGGTCGTTTCGCTCCCTTGACACGGTGTGCCTCATACAATTTTTTTCTAGAAAAACCCCTGATGTGTAAAGTAAAAACCTAATAAATAAGAAAAAAGGGTGAAGAATTTGGATATTGAGGAACTTCTTACCGAAAAATGGATAATAAGACGTCCCTTTTCAAACGGTCTGCGATACATGGGCATCCCTTCATTCAGGACACACTTTGTGTCTCCAGGTTTGATCAGCTCCCCTGTGATTAAAAACATATTGACAATGGGTCACATTAGTCATAAAAAACATAATACATAAAAACAAGTTGACTGACTGTAGGACAATGCAATATTCTACATCAGCTTTACCTGGATGCGACGTGATGAGTATAGTTCTGTTGTCCAGTGTCTGAACAGGCTTCTTAAAACCACACAGAGCCTCTACCAGCTGTAACTCCATGGACATGATGAGGTCCTCCCCTTTCCTGATGACAAAAGCAAGAACAAGTTGAACAAAAAGTGCAAGTAATTTTACTGAGTGAACTAGATGTTTAAAAAAAAAGATGTGTGTGCTGCTACTATCAACTGTAGATTTAATAAAAAATATTATGCGTTTGGTGCAAATGTAATCAAGGTCAAATTCAAACACGGTGAAAAACAAAGTTGCACTCATTTTTAAAAATTTCTCCAATAAATAAACTGCAAGTTGCCTGTACATATTGCTCATATTTTACTGGACTCACACCATCGTTAAATCTGCTCACAAGGATGGCATCAGTAACAAAAATACACTTGGTAACAAAATATTTTTTTACCTGGTGAAACTTGAATGATCTCGCTGGTCCAGGACAAAGATGATATCACCTGGTTCAAGTCCTGGCTCCTGGTCTCCCTCTCCATGGAAAACAATTTTCTGGCCATCTCTCATCCCTGTGGCAATCAAGTCACCAGGTAACATATGTGCAAACCTCCTCTATGTCATCCTCCAACAGACACGGATGAATTTATTCTGGTTCTCCTTTTTCTCTCACCTTTGTCAATGTGGACTTCCAAGATCTTCTTCTGTCGCAGGATCTTCCGCCCTCCACATGATTTGCAGCGGTCCTTCTGGTTGATTCTCTGTCCTTGTCCCTGGCAACTATGGCACACTGTGGACACTTGCTGTACCATACCTGGTACTAACTGGTGTACGCGAACCTGCATTCCTGTTCCATGGCAAGACATGCACATTTGTGCTGCTCCTTTACGACTACCACGACCTGTCAAGAAAAACAAACTGTAAGCACCCTGGCTAACAAAGGTCAGGAGTTTTTGGTTTTAAGTTTATTTATACTTAACCTATTAACTGGGATGACCTGGTAAGCAAGACGTGGATTACTTTTACTCAACTGACCTTAAAAACCCTACTTGGAATATCAAAGAAGTCCAGCAACTGACACAAATAATGATACTTGTGAAAGAAAGTTGTACCTTCACATCTCTCACAAATGGTATTCTTCTGGACAGCAAGTTTTCGTGTTGCTCCATTATAAAGATCTTCCAGCGTCACTGAAATCTGATGAACAATATTTTTCCCTGCAAAATAACACATAGCATTGTCAGACATGTCACAGAAGTAATATTGCTTCTAAGAATAAGACAAAATTCTCAAGTAGCATCTATTTTTTTCAAACTGTAATGCATTCCCAGATTTCTGTCATGGTACGTGATGCACAATGGGATTTGTAAAATAGTAATCATAGCCTTATAAAAAAAGAAATCAGTCACACACTGTATGGCATTGTAGTTGCCTTCTAATACCAACTACTTGCAAATGTCTCGCTGGGATGAAATACTTTATGTCAATAAAGCTAAATGCTGTTAAATGAGCAACAGAATCAGACTAAATGTTATTTAATCTGGAGGGATGTTTGACTGAGAAAGGTGTAATAAAAAGCCTATACAACTTTTAACATTTTTTTTAAAGAAAGTCTGAAAATTAAATCCTTACAGAAAAACAACAAACCAGACAAAAAGGAACAGATCATAATTTAGTGCATACATATTTAGTGAACCTAATCAACCTGCTTTTTTGTGCTCTTAGTTTTGCCAGCTGCCTATATCATGACTGACATCTGGTGGCACAGGTTGTTCACAGCAATACAGCGTAATAATACTGCAGACCTCTGTTAGTTAAATGTAAAAAGTCTAGGCAGTAATCATGTGTGTCTGAGTTGAACCTCAGGCAGGAACATATTGAAAGAGCCATGGAAAAAATAAAAGTTATACTTTCTACCACTGTGGCTAACGTAGTAGCTGCCAGTGCTGGTGAAAGCAACAACAAAACAGCTGAATGATCATAGTTCACTTGCACGAATACGATCACTTGAAATTTAAACTTGTACACTTAAAAAAAAAAAAAATTTGCATATGTGGCCATTTTGGCCCTAATCCTAACCCTGCCGTAGTATACCCAATGCTGTCATACTGTCCAAGCATAGCCAGCAATTGGTAAAATTTCATCAATACACACACTTTGTGTTTAATTCTTAATATCAATTATAATTTCATATAACAGACTACTTTTTCAAACTATGTTTGAAAAAGCCTAAATTTCTTCTACTAAATCACTATAAAAATGAACTATTCACAGAGTATTCACACATCATGTGACTGTGCAATAAACATAAATGAGAGAAAACTGTGATAGAAGAGGACTCATGCTCAAGTTGGGGAGCAGCTTTGTCTTTACTATTTTGAATATCCCAATAGTTTAAGGCCAATCTGTACAATCACTAATAAGACAGCCGATGAAAAGCCATAATTAAGTATTATTCTCTCAAAAATGTGTTGTTTGCGCCACGTCCCGTATTTTTGATACATTGTGATTGCTCACAAGCACAAACTGCAGTTGGAATTAGGAGTAGATTCATTCCAAATTAGAGTATTTTCCCTTAAAAACACAACTGTGTGGAGAAAATGAAAACTGATAGAAATGTGGTGCAAACGACTGCTGCAACAATTACTGAATGCATATATGGCACCTATTGTGATAATTGATGAATTGTTTATATCATTTTACAATCATTTGACAAATTTAGCCATTTTTCAGTTTTCTAATTGTTTAAAACACAACAAATAAAAAGGAAAATAACTGAGATAAATCTTTTTTTTTAGTTGCAGCCCTACTGTTCCAAGTAAATGCACATTTCTTTTTTTTTTTTTGCTTTTTATAAGTCAGTCAGATCACAAAATTTTCACACTGACACTTAACCAACTGTACACATCATTACAGCACACTGATAATTTTTCTGATGTTTGCGTACCTTTTCGTTCTCTGTGCATTCGGCTGCCTCCCCCAAAAAACAAGTCAAAGATATCCATTGGGGATGCAAAGCTCCCCCCACCACCACCACCACCTGTTCCTCCTTCCTTGATAGCCTTTTCACCTCCACGGTCATATACCTCTCTCTTCGTGGCATCTGACAACACCTCATAGGCCTGTGAAATCTGTTTGAACTTTGAAAAAAGAAACAAAAAGACAGGGTTTTAAGACATATCCTGTAATGCGGCTGATGTTCATAGGTGTGATAAAAAGGTAGTTACCTTCTCTCCTTCAGTAGGATTTTTGTCAGGGTGATATTTCAAAGCTAGCTTGCGATAGGCCCTTTTCAGTTCATCAGGAGTAGCATTAGGCTTCACACCCAGTGTATCATAAAAGCCAGTTTCCTTGACCATGTTGCCTCTGACAGATAACCTTGGGACGAAGACAAAACATAATTAGTATTCAAATATTCAGTTTGAATTTAGCACCGGATCGCTTCTAAATCTACCTGAGAAAATCTTTGCCACAAACACCTGGTCTCTGAATGCAGAGTAATCACATGGAACAAGTTTAGATGAGTAGTGTAGGAGCCATTTATGTTTGTTGTCGTCAGGTAATTTGATGTGGATTATTATTATTATTTTTATTGTTTGGACACAGGGTGCATATGTAGAGGGCACAGGTGACAGGAAGAGGTGGGCACAGGTAGGGGGAGGGCCAACAGTTCTCACCAGATCAGCAGCAGACCAGCATCAAACCAGCACAGATACCAGATTCACAATAGGAAAACCGCTGTATTTTCATTGCATATATATCATTGAATAAACATCCACGAACAGCAAGTATAAGGACTGGAGATTCAGTTTTTTGATCTGCATCGGTTCACTCTGCTCCACCTGTGCAATAACGGCAATTACAGGACACTGGAAAAATTGCCATTACAAGTAGTATGTGAATAAAATTATGTTACGTATCACTGAAAGAAAAGAGTGCTTCATGTGGCTGAACTATAGCAGAAGGCTTCTTGTTGCTGTTCATTGATATGTTACGCATAGGGTCTTGATTCAGCTTAGTACCCTCCCAATCTGATATGAAAAGACAAGATATACTACTCATTGTAATGCAACACAATCCAACAGCTCCACAAACTGCCAGGCTGTGGTACCGCAGAGGCAATCTGTAGCACTGTTGGCAGCTGAAAGACATGCTGTTAGTTAAGAAAGCGCTGAATGCCCTGGTTGGATTTCACAACCGGTCAGCAGAGCATGTCTGCTGAGCAACCATGTTCCACTGTTCTGTTTTACATTCCTTTTATGTAATTACCACTGCCAGGGAGGTTATGATTTCACCCATTTTGAAACAAGCACCGAATAACATTAATTATGCCTAGAATGTAACTGCATTATGCAATATATTTGCACAGACACAGCTTTATTGGGCAAACCCAAGTTTATCAACATGTGAGCTAGTTAATAAACACAATAAAATAACTAGGCTACATGATTAACATTTTTATATACAAACTTGTTTTCCAATTTTCATGACATCTTCTACAAAGCAGCCTAGTGTCAACCAAAATTAACATACTTAAGTGGTCAATATAGAATGATGCTAAGGTCTTCATATAGTGTGCTATGATAGTTTAGAGGTTATAAATGTTATGTCCACAATTTTAAGTCACAAAATGTATTTTTCCTTTCATTTCTCTACTTGCCAGTGTTTTTTTCTTCTTCTGTCATGTACTGCCCCATAATAACAGCAGAAACTCCCCACAAAAGTTAAAATCAAAGAACTCTGAAAACACCTTAATATTCACCCCACTTATATCACTGTAGGAAAACAAGATGCCACTGGAGTGCCAGGAGCTGCTAGTGCCAAGTCATCGCATTTCTTTTCTTTGACAGTCAAGTGTACCAAATAACTGGCAGCTGAGTGTCGACCATACAGGATGGCTGACAGTTGGGTAATTCCAAACAAGAAACTGTGTCTCAGTTCATTTTAGAAATATCAGTTTAGAATATGAACATTTCCCTGGACCAAAAAGAAAACAAATAAACAAAACAAATAACTCATTGATTTAGTAGGAACTCTGTCCTGTACCCGACGTCAGGTAGCCATCTTTGTTTTGAATCGCGAGCAGAGTTGTAACTTAGTAAACCGTTAATAAACAATTGGTCATCATTGAAGTCGATTAGAATAGTCTTTGTGGATTACAGAAACACATTTAGCAAAATGTGACACATTATTAAACGACATTTGGAGATTTCAAACATCTCCGGGTAATTAGCCATTAGACAATCCGATGGTTAAGTTACATCCGTCACCCGCATGATGAGGGGCACAAACTGGGGCTAATCAGGCCATGGCTGGTTTTGCTGTTAGCCCGGTTAGCTAAACTGCAAAATCGATTGTTTCCCCAAGCATAAGTAAAAAAAAAAACTTGTAACACTGATATAAACATAATATGTAGAGATAATCACTATTTTCCGACCTTTTACGAAGATGTTTTGAACCCTCAGCTTCTGGGAGACGTCAGTTCACAGCAACTCTTCCAGAAGCTTCCTAACCATGGAGGGAGTCGCGTCCAGGTGACGTCAGCAGTCTGCGACGAGACCAGTCCCCAAAACAATCGTGGATCGTGCTGTAGATTAAGCTAACTGGAAAGCACCGTAACATGCTACAATGCCGATTTGCTGGCTTATTAGCGAGGAGGGTAATCACAAACCCATCCGTCTGCCTCATTTACAGACAGTTGTACTGGGTCGAGGCCCAGAAACGACTATCAAAGACAAAAAATGCTCTCGGGAGCAAGGTAATAGCCCTTTGCAATTCAATTTAACAGACGAGCTACATTAACTAGGAGCTACATTTGTAAAGCACGCCAGCTTCAGTTGTTACCGTAAGTAGGTAAAAAGAAGATGTCAAAAATTTTATAATAAATACGACCGACTTAAGCGTGCTGAGAAGACGGTTCAAACTGATAATGGTTTAAATTGTTCTTTCTGTTTAGTTGTCTTTTAATTTAATTTACATTTTCCACTTCAATTTACCTGCATGGTATGCCAAGACATATTCTGTTTTCAGAAAGAGTAATAATGTGTTAAGACTTGTGATGAAAAGTGTGAGTAGGTCTCTGCTAGAGTAGAGTAGTAGAGTCCTTCAGTAAATGTAAGAACAAAGTGTATCATCATGTGGCTAAACTCTGCAAAAGGCCTTTGTGTTGCTGGTCACAGAAAACATTAATATATATCACAATTTAGTGTAACACAGCTATTAAATATTACCTCACAAAATTTGCATTATGTTGAATTAAAATCTCCGACTAACAAAAAAAAGTTCAAAAAGAAAGATTTATTGCAAGACTGCTGTGATTTTAATTAGATTGCATTAGAACAGTAAAATGTCAGTAACGAGAATAGTCCTGAAACAAGTAGCTGTAATGTAGATAAATCTGTCACAAAAGCATCATAAGATGATAAATGCAGGTTTGCTGGCGTATCAGTGAGCAGGGCAATCACAGCCTTTATACACACTTGTCTTGGGTCAAGGCCCAGTAGTGATTATCAAAGATAAACAAGGCTCTCAGCAGCAAGGTAACAACACTGTACATTTCAGTTTCATAGACTGGCTGCATTGGCAAGTAGCTAAACTAGCAAAGCAAGCTTAATTTTCACAAAAAGTTTCGTAAACAAATGTTATCCACCTTAGCATACTAGCACTATGTTTTAAATTGATTTCCGTGTACATTGTTGCTTCAGTTTATTTGGAATATAATTTAATTTCAATTTAAATGCAGTTTTACCTGCAGAATATGTAAAGATGTGTTGTCAAAAAGGAAACAGTTTGAATGTTGATCATTATAAAAACTGATTATGCTAAAGATAATTAACAGAATAGACCATGAAAGAAAATAGTTAAATATTGTCATGTCTTATTTTCATGGGCTGTGATTTTGCTGTTACAGTCAAATCAGAAGGAGAAGTTAAAGACAAAATGTGTGTTAATTTCTTTATTCTGCTATAAGTTGCTGTTTGGGTTTAATAAAATGAAGAATTCTAAAGATAAACAATTTTCCCCTGTACATTTTATTTTATTGTCAGTGAAACATCATACACATAGAGGCAGATTTTTTCAACCTAAACGTCTCTTGTAAAATGACATGAAGACTACTCACCTGTTTTTTCTTTTACATGTGGCATCACACTTTCTTATGTATTTATGTATTGTAAAAGTAATCATATTTGAAAAGCTTGTACATATTTAAAACAAACTTTAACCAGTGCGAATGTTATCCCTTTCCAACTAGTTGAACTGAAAGCAGAATGCAACAAAGGTTATGTCAAAGTCAAACAGGTAAGGCACATAAAACATTGATTTTGTCAATATAGGCCATTAAAACAATACAGACAGGGTTAATACTGAAATTATTTACATTCCTGTAGGCCTTACTGCTATTTTAGAAACCCAGTACTCATTTTGGACACACGTTGTTTCTGTTTAGTTTGTCTGCTGCAATGATTCATTTTTTATTTAAATGACTTTTGAATTATTTTCTACTGGCTATTAAATACGCTTTCTCATCTGGTCTTTGTTCTAAAGCTGGGCTTAAACCCCACCTCTATAGACTCTGTGGTGGTGGGAAAAGGCAACGAGGTCAAAATAAAGCCTGGACAGCAGCTCCATATTGTCAATCAGCTTTACCCGTACACTGTACAGTTCAAAGAGGACCCAAATGGTAGCCACAGCATCCCAAAAAGACCTCGAGAGTCAGCCTCAGAGGACAGAGAGAGCAAGAGAGAGGCTCAGGTTGTGAAAGCAGCCAAACAGACAGAAGAGGTTTCTGTGTCAGCCAGCCATGGAGAAGCCAAAAGAGTAAGTGTAAGAAAAACAGTAGTACTTTTTAATGTGTCTACATTTTTCTCTTGTATGGATCATTTATAGAGCTGGTATAAGAAACATGTTACCTGCAATGTATTGAAGGAAAGTGCTGGACATTGGAGCCAAGGCCTGAAGACTTCAATGCAAGACCCTAATATGCAGGTAGATGTTGTAGAAAAAGTATTTACACATTGTGGCACACTTAATGAGTTCAATCATAGCTGGATGTTTGACTGCATGCGATTCTCACAAAGTCTGAGTCTTGAGTGGCTCTATTTTACTTTTTCTAGGTATACAAGGATGATAAAGTAGTAGTCATTAAAGACAAATACCCCAAAGCTCGGCACCATTGGCTCGTCCTCCCATGGCAGTCGATTCCCAGTCTGAAGGCTTTGTGTGAGGAACACTGTGATCTGGTCAAACACATGCAGCGAGTTGCTGACCAAATGGTTCAGCAGTGTCCAGATTCTAGCTCGCTACGCTTCCGCACAGGTTACCATGCCATCCCAAGTATGAGGTGAGTACGAACTGTTTGAATGGTGCTATTACATTCAGAGAGCCCACTTTATCATTTAACACAAATTCTTCATATTTTATATCTCTGCCAGCTATTTTTTGAACACTCTGGGTTTTATATCAGCACTTATGATTATTTTGCATTCCAGACAGTCACTGATTTGAGTTAACTGATTTGAATCTTGCTTGAAATGGACCAGACTTTTCACTAAGCATCCAGGCATTACTATTATTTTTGTTTCAAATACTAATTCTGGAATCTGCAGTTTGTACATGAAACCTAGTTAATTCACCTTGTAATTAAAAAAAAAAAAAAAATCTGCATTTGCTCATAGTTTTTCTTACAGGATTGATTTTCTGACATCAAAGCTCATCATATTAGTGCTGTTTGTCAGCTAAAACCCTGACAGTATCAACAAAGCTATTTTAAATCTTGCGGGGCAATTTCTGTCTATGCAGGAATGTAGGTTAATCATTTCGAATTTTATACAAAATTAATTAAGCTCAAAAGTCCACTTTGTGTTTTTCACCTGGATGCCTTTGATCAAACTTCCTATTTTTGTTTTAAAGCATTTTTAATTGCCTTTGTATAGGAAACGTTCTTTACTGATAAACATGTAGTGCATCCAAGTCTTATGCACAGAAGCATTGGAAGGAAATTTAGATAAATGCATTTATTTTTACTCTTAGCTTAGTACAGCTTCATTTATTGTGCCTGTGACACAAAACTGTACTCTTTACCACCACTTAGTGGTAAAAGTTATGGGCGTAACAAAACAGAGGAGAAAACAGTGATTGGGAGACATTGTCCAGTTGTACTTTTGTTTTCTTGACTGTATGCTTTTATTGCAGACAGAAAGTAAACACAAGCAGTAACCTGACCATCCACCTCTGGTGGTTAGGATGCTGTTGCTAAGATTTACACAAAATCATTCAAATAAAAAACAAAGAAACTTGACAGCAGTGTGCAGTATTTGTCATTTTTAGTAAAATTTGACAAATTCAAGCAGGATGTTCATGTGAAGGAGGCTCAACACCCTCCTGAAACAGTCATGCAAAAAAAAGAAATACTTGTTTTATTTTGTACTCTTTTTCAGTCATGTTCACCTCCATGTGATCAGCCAGGACTTTGACTCTCCTTGTTTGAAGAACAAAAAACACTGGAACTCATTTACAACTGACTATTTTATTGAGTCTCATGGTAAGAGAAAATTCAATTGTTTTATTTATTTCTATCAGTTGTTGACTGCTGTGGCACACGCTGGCCATTGCAGTGAATTAACACAGTGTTTGACTTCACACAGATGTCATTCAGATGCTTGAAACAAATGGAAGGGTCACTGTAAAAGAAGGCACCAGTGAGTTGTTGAAGCTGCCTCTTCGCTGCCACATGTGTTGCAAAGATCTTCCTACTATACCAGCTCTGAAGGAGCATCTGAAGTCTCACTTTCCCAGATAACAACTGTGACCTCAAACAGATTCCAATGCTTTGGATTTTCATTGGTTTCATGTAGGATTCACACCATGCTAAATTTGGTTTTGCTTGTTAATTATGACTTGTAATTATGTGAACAGAATAGAATGTACAACTGTGGTTGAATTTTCACTTATGTTTAAGAGGTTAATGTAAGGATGCACATCGTTCATGCTGAATGCCAGATGTCAGGACAGCCAAGTTCTAAGATTTCTGAATAGTTCCCGAAGTTTCAAACATGTTTAAATATGTTGCATTAAAGTTTTCTACGAACTAAACACAGATGTTTTTTTGTCGTCGTTGTTTTATCATTTTAAGTCAAAGTCAAGCAAAGGTTTATGAAAGTCTTACAGTCCATCTGTTTTTGTAAATTATTCTTGGAATTTTCTGTATTTTCAGAAATTAAATCAAAATCCAATCAAATCAAGTTTTTATTGTCATTTTGCTGTACAAACAACATTAGTACAGGCAAGATGAGAAAGCATTTTTCCAGGATCTAATAAATTAAAGCAATTAAGTAAATAAAATAATCAATAAAAGAGTGTGTGCATATCCTGATCAGCAGTTCAGCATTCTGACAGCTTGGGGAATGAAGCTGTTGCTCAGTCTGGAGGTTCTTCCTTTAATGCTCCAGAAACATTTGTCTGATGGCAGCAGTTCAAAGAGTTTATGGTAAAGGGAGTGAGGAGTCTGACAATGTTCAGTGTCCTGCTCCTGCAGCGGCTCTGGGAAAGTTCTTGGACAGAGGTGAGGGGAAACTCAGCAGAAATTAGGCAGAAACTGAGAAAGTAACTGCCCCTTTGTTTCTAACATTGTGTTTAACTTTACTGACTGAAAAAAAAAAAAAGACGACTTATTTGCATGATGCCACCCTCTAAACTGAGAAGCGTGCTGCTGGAGTGGGATGCTGTGAAGATTACGAATCTCTTACTGTTTCACACAGTGTGAGTTTCCTGTCAGATCTCCTGCTGAGCTTTGAAACCAGTTAGTATTCAAGACATTTGGCGCTTCTACTGAACCTCTCTGTCTTAAATATCACAAGAAGTTAAAACAGTAGCCCCTTTGAACACACGTCGACACAGATGCTCCAACTGTCTGATCAGTCTGATGACTGCTTTTGTTCATAGGCATAACTGGATTGTCATGTTCACGTTTCTTATTGCGCTCTAACAAATGCAGAACTTATAATATTTATTTTATGTGTTAAGAGAAATATCAGTAAAAGTGGCTGAGCAACCCTTTGTCGCCATCTAGTGTTAGGTTTCTATCCCAAAAAAAAGACAAAAAATAAAGATCCATAATTTGAGCTTTGACTTGCTGCTGCGTCATGTAGTGCTTTTAGAAGAGGTAGATCTGACTCTAAGTAGAAGACACAAAAGGGAAAATATGAAAAAACGTACAGTGGCCCGTACGGGGATCGAACCCGCGACCTTGGCGTTATTAGCACCACGCTCTAACCAACTGAGCTAACCGGCCATGTTCACACACGGAAACATATGATAATATGATTAAAACAAAATCTTCACAGCCATGGCCATTAACGGATGGTTTAGCTGGTAAGTTCTGATACAAGTGCTGGCCTCTTTTTAAATGATGAAATCTTACCGCCTCCTGTGGAAATGTGCAAATACTTTGCACTTTGCTTGTAGATATAGACACAGTGCTTATTTGAACTACTTCTACATACTGTTAGCCACTGCTTGTTTAAAGCTAATCATATTATTTGTAGATTAAATCTGCAAAGTAACGATAGTAAATAACTAAATGGATAAACCACAGTCTACGGAATACACAGAGCAATATTTCTCTTTATAATGTGCTGGAATAAACTGCATAAAAACTTTATTGAAGTACTGGCATTTCAACACTGTGTGGTAAATGACATGTTATTATTATATGTCTTTTTATATAAAAACATGCGAGCCTCCAATACCATGGTTATATCATTTCTTTATTATTTATTATCAAAACAAAGTAAATGCTATAATTATCATAATATTATTCACACATATAAAAAATTATCAGCTACTGGTAACATAATGCCAAAATGAACGTTCAGAGGCAATAGGCAAAAGCAAATCTGTCATCCTGAAATCTTCAGGCTGGTCATGTAATGGTGCTGTAGTTCATAGTGGAGAGCACAATGATGCACATGTTATCGTCTTCTTAGGTTTAGCTGCCTTTCATCTTCATCTGGCACCATCAGATTGTCCACGGAGAAATGGGCGTCATCTCCAATATTCTGGAAGAAATACTCTTCACTTTCGCAGCTCTGCGTTCCATTCACACAGTCTTTGAGTTGTGCCATCTCAGAGCTGTTGCTGGCATTGCTGTCCTCAGTGCTCTTGCTGGCGTCACTGCTGTCGCTGTTTTCGCTGGTGTCATTGCTCTCGTTGCTTTCGCTACTGGTGCTCTCACTGCTGTCACTGATGGCAGCTGTGGTGTCGGTGCCATCGCTGGTGTCAGCGCTGTTGCTGGTGGTGTCGCTGCTGTCTGTGGGGTTCTCCTGCAGTTGCAGGTTTGTGCTACCCTTGGACTGTTTCTCCATCAGCTCGTTGCTCAGGGAGTCCATCTGACCTTTCACCTCTGTGCTGCTGTTGTACTCTGCACTCAGGACTTTGACTACATTTGCAAACACTCGGACCCAGCTCTGATGCAGGAAATAAACAGAGGATAGCGTTACCCAGCTGTAACCTCAGCTGAAATGAGACACAGTTTAAAATTGAGTGAGATTGCAAAATGTTTGTCTCACCTTTCGAACATTCTCCTCACTGCCCATGCTGTCGTCTTTGGTTTCGGGCATAGAGTCGTTCTGTGGAAAAAGACAATCAACTATATGAGTCAAGAGCTTATATTATATGTTAACATTAAGCAATAATACCAGGTTTAGTAAAATATTTTATTTAATTTCATCTTACCGCGCTGTCCTCATCTGATTGACTGTCACTCTCCTCTGAAGTCTGTTTGTGGAAAGCAAAGTTTTATTTCTCCAATAGAGACATACATAGTGTAGCAAAAATAACTAGTACAATAAGAACATTCATCTTTAAGTGCATCTATATTTTTTGTTCTGTTAAGCTAAGTTCTTACTGGACTTTTGTACACTAAAGTCATGTTTTTTTTTCTTTTCTCATTTCTGTTTTTTTTTTTCTTTCACTCCAGTTCCATTTCATTACACTTCTTTTCATTTTTATTGTTGGGTTACACCCATAACTCTAAAACTATGACAATTTTGAGATTTTTAACATTGCAACAACAACCTTGATAAGAAATGTATGACAGTAAAGTTTAAACAGTGAAACTGACCCACCTTGTCCTCTGATGTGGATTCTAATGATTCTGATTCTGAACTCTGCAGAAAAACAAAACACATTTACAGCACATCAGTTTATTCAGATCTGTGTGGTTAGATGTTTGTTCATGCATCCTGTGCAGATATTTGAGAATCTAAGTGACTTACTTGATTTGAGGCGTTTTCCTCAGAACTCTGCAACACAAAGAGAAACACAAACCCATTTAGGTGAAAGTCAGCAATCAAAAGTGATGCAAAAAGTCAGAAAATATTCATTTAGTCATTACTGGAATAAATGTATGTGTTACCTGAAGCTCTGAGGTATCATTTTCAGAAGATTGTGAAACAGACAAGCTTTCAGTCTGGGGAAGAAAAAAACAAAGTAAGCACACACCACAATATGTTTAATTATACCCTGTAAGTCAAGCAGCAACAATAATCACATTCATCTCAGATCCATTCATGTCAGCCATCGCTTGGGCAAACTATTGCTGCAGACAAAAGATGCTGTGAACAATAGTCCCTGAAATGGGAATTGTCTTGAGGTCTGAAGAAACTTTAAGTACCCACACCTATTGTTTGGTTTTCTGCTGACTGTGACGGAGGAATGCAGCTTCAGTGCAGTCAAATGAATTATGTGTGGTTTCCTCAATGTGCTGTTAAAACCAAGTGTGGTGCAGTTTTGAAAAAAAAAAACAATATATCTGATGGTACTTACTGAGTTTGAGTCAAGCTGACTTGATACCAAAGAAACATTGTGTAAAATCTGTCAGACAGGAAACAGAGAACATTGTCATTAGGAGGTTAACACTAGAACATTTTTTATTTCTAAACATGCATGTTGCCCTTGTCTGTGTCAAAGTGCCTTAACCATTCAGGACTTTAATGTTGCCATACGTAGGAGGTTCTTTCAGGGTCCACTGGACCCCAAGAAAGAATATGTGCAAAATATTTGTTGGTATTCATTATAGACTTTTATACTAAGTTAAATACATTTTCTGATAAGTTGACATATTTTCGGTTCCAAATGTAAATCCTAAAGACCCCAAAGTCCTGAACAGGGTTAATGTAGTAGATATTTTCTAAGTGGAGGCAATAGCTTACAAGTGTTTAAGAACAAAAAATACCACAGGAAAAACAAGTAATGTTTACACTTATTGTGCTATTTAAAAAAAAAAAAAAAAAATCTTTACTGTCGTAATGCTCATATTAAATACATTAAAATGCACTGTATGTCAGCACAGAGGCACCTTAAGTTTTTTTTTTCACTTTTATGAAAACAAAAAGTAATTGTGTAAACTTTTAAGGTTTAGAAACATTGCATATTGTTGCATAAACAGACTTTTCTTTCAAACTAGTTTCATACTTACTGGATTGGCAAAAACTGCTCCAATCAGGCAAAATGTTATAATGGTGACCTTCATTCTGTAACAGAAAGACATAATTAATATTGTCCTTGATTCAGTTGATTTTAATCACTTTGCAAGCATCAATACATAAACATTCATGTTTTGCATTAGCAAAGATAAAGAATGTCTGAACGCATTAATGTTGCTCTTGCACCTGAACTTAACACAAACATAAAAGCACAGACTAACCAACAACATTGAAAGTTTTTAGAAATCAGACAAAAGTGACCATGTAATGAGAATGTGTGCTGCTGTTAGAAAAACACAAGTTATGAACAAAAACCAAACAAACAAAAACATATTGTAATCAATCAAGGAATAATCACTTACCTTTTTGTCTGTTAGAGTCAGAGCTTCTGTAAAAGATGTTGTTAGTGGTCCTGGTAGAGTGTACCGTAGCAGCAAACACCAGAATCCAGAGTCTGTCCTGAGCCACGTATGGAAGCTGGCAGTTGAGGCAGTAAAAGCTCGATGTGTGGATTTGCTGTAGGAAACTCCAAGGAGCGCTGTATATATGTAACCTCAATTAAGGCGATTGCATCACTTCCTTCCGGGCGTCTCTGTCCTGTCGATGTGCGAAGGTGTATTTGTTCCGGAGAGGGAGCTCAAAACAAACACACACTGGCACGTTCATGATTGTATATACACAAAAACACACACACTCAACTGTTTCATTCAGTCACTAAATTTCCTCCGCCCCCTCTCAAGTCTTTAGTGAAATATAGTTTAGCATACTCAACCATAGGGTTTGTGGCCTGCTGAAAAAACAAACTCTCCCACTCAGAGAGGAAAAAAAGTTCCAGACGGTGTAATGCTTATTTCCGGTGAAATGGAGGTTTTTATCTTTACTTTCTTGTTAATAGTTTTGTTGTTGTCTAATATTAAATTACAAAGAACAGGTTGGAGGAAGTGCAAGGGTGGGTAAGCTAAAAAAAAGTCATCTGAAATTGGAACAAATTAGCCCTGTGGTGTTTTTCCAAAGGATAATTAAACCTGCAACTTCACATAACCTGAGTGACATGCCTCATTAAGGTTAATTGCACTATTTGATTTATTGTATTTAAAAAAATCTAAAGTGTATTTTGTAACACATTGCCTTCAGTTTTGCATCGGAAATAAGAGTAGTTCTTGGAAATGGGGCATGTACAGTAGAAAGCCTAAATAAAGACGTCTACATTTCCTCCCTGAGGTTGATAATTGCTTCCTGGATGTCCTTATATGGCCAGGCCCAAAATAAGATTACAGAATTCCTTGTTTAACCTCACTTTGGATTTTAACCGTGCAAAAGAGGCCTGTAATTAGACTGGATGTTCACCAGTCCAGAGTTTTCTGCCAAACCCACAAGGGGAGGAGGGAGGAGAGGATGATTGATGCTTGTTGTGGCACACAGACAGTCAACAATGTCTGCAATGTCATTCACCCCGAGGTTACTTAAGTTTTAGTGACCCTTTTACCCTGACGTCTGACGCACCTTGTTAGTGATATTCTTAATGTAACACTTGTCTGACTGGTAATAGACCCATGTTACTCAGATCTGATTGTGGTGGGAAAGTCTGGGTTATTAGTAAATCATGCAAAAATAGTGTAGTAATAGTTTGAGGAAATAATGCAAATAAGCTGCTGGAAATTATTCTGATGTTGCTGAAGATCACATCATGATAGTAATACAATGAGAAGTCGCTGAGGTTCAATGTATATGTTTAACAATGGAAACAATAGTTTACAAAATAGTTTTACTGTTGCTTGGAGCTTTCAATCACATGATCCTCAGCATCACCGACTTCTCTTGACACTTCTGTGTTTTGCGAGATAATGTTACAGAAACAACGTGCTATTTTATTAACAGGACTTTTTTTATGTTGTTGGTGAAAAGGTTTGTTTTTTTATCCTAATAGCCTAAATGCCAGAAATCAGTGGCTCTTGAGGTGAACCTGTTTTCTTTTAACAAACATTTGTCTGACTTTTTCTCATCATGTCAAAATATTAACCCCTGTTACTTACCTGTCATTGCCTTTGTTAGTTGCTTCAGGAGCACAGACTTGTGATGGAGGGACATCTAGTGGTCAGGATTGTGCATTACTTCTGTACCAAAACACTGTGGTTACGTTTGGAATGGTTTTGTTCTACCATAAACAGCCTACGCATAACAGTTTTCAAATTTTCACCAACCTAAAAAAACAAAAAACAAAAGCCAAAACTGAAATTTAATCAAACTGCAGACCGAGACATGCGAGCAAATGCATGAGATTATCCTTAATTTTAAAAATGTTTAAACCTGACAAATGCTGTTTTTGAAGACACACTCGGGTGTTGCTTTTTAGACTTGTTTGTGCTTTTAGGAAACATTTTTTTTAGAGGCAGATGATTGAGTTTAAGTTCAGTGTAGGATCGCATTGTTCGCCTCTCTGTAGACCAAAGACCCTCCCAAAGTTAGCATTGGCATCCTAGACCCTGAAAAAAAACTTTGTGTGATCTCTGTGTGTGTGTGTGTGTGTGTGCATTTGTGTGTGAAGCACGCCAGTTTGTGTGGACAGTGTGTGTGCTGTCTTGAATACAAAAGGACATCTTCACAGGTTGAACACAGGCACGTACTGGTGTTTGTGCGGGATTTTCATTTTTCTGGAATCCGCCAGCCTCAGGTAAAACTCTTATTACAGAGACTTTGACATTGTTTTGCAATTCAGTTTATTAATGAACAAGTAGAGGTGTGTGCACGCGGGACATCTTTATTACTTATTGCTTTGCAATGAAACTGTTGTGTGTTGTCAGCAGCGACTACTGGCTCGATAACACTGTAGCCTCTTTAGAGAAAACTCAACTTTGTCGATCTTGATCTTGAAAGTGATTTGAATGTTATTATTGTACATATCAAAAGATGGTAACTTCCAATATACTGTCTACACTGTGATGTACTAATATAATGTACATAGCATTGACAAATGTAAATGATGCTTACTCACGGCTGTGCGTTGTTTGCATGTGAACAAGTTTTTTTTGTAGCTGTAAAGTATCCTTAAAAGCATTAAATTATTTTATTAAAAATGGGGCATACATATACAAATATCATCTAATATGACTAACTACTTGTATAATTAAATCACTGTATGCTTTAAACAAACAAATGATACTTCCAAATTATAAAGCTCAAATAAAATTTAGTGATTTATTGCTTTTGGTTTATTTTCATACCCACATCCCTCCTGCCTGCACCTACTTCAGGTTTGCTGTGCTGAACTATTATTCCACTGGACAGATTCAGTAATGTCTGTTTTGTTTCTGTCCAGAGAGACAAAAAGTTTGTGGACTTAGTCAACTTTTTCCAGTCTGGTAGCTTCTGATGTTTACTTTAGCCCTGAATGTGACTTTTGAGAGCTGGGCGCATCTCAGAGGCCCGTAGCCTTGACAACAGCGGAGGCCCATCCCACAGCTCTTCTTGTCATGAATGTGTTGGCAGCATACAGATGCATTCATCTGTTTCAGCTTTGAAAGATGTGCCAAGTTCTCATCTTTGTTGTGACCAGTTAGAAGTCAGAATATAATACACTGGTTGTCTGTGACTTGCACTTTAGCCTTTTGTTAATTAAGTTTTGCAGATATTCAGTTGCTGAACAATAACATGAGTTGCATATAATCAATTTCTAAACAATTTTGTCCCATGCTGAAGCTTTTCCTTTCAATGTTACAGGTATGAGGGCCTGCTTAGTGTTCCTTTGCTTACTGGCAGCAACTCTTGCCCTGTCTGTGAGTAGCAAAGTCTTTTTTTTTTTCTAAGTTTGACAATTGAAATTTGATGCAATGGATGTAATGTGATCTCTGTTTTAGTACTGCAATATACTGATAAATATCTGAAATGATTCCCCATTATGTTTAGGTAAAAAGTAAACCTCATGGAAAACATCACGGATTGCACAAAACTTTACACACAGCCAAGGAAAAGGTAGAGTGGTGCATTAAAGTATTTTAGGATTTGCTTTGAAAAGAACATCAGGAAATTTTAAACCCTACAATTAACTTGTTTTCTCTCACTTGTTTAAGGATGTCATCACAGAGGAGGCCAACAAGCCTCAGATCTTGCCTACTTTAGTCACATTTGAGGCCAGAAGTCAAGAGCAGGAAGATGAGGAACTGAGCTCCGAAGACAATGCTAATGCTAACAAGGACGATGAAGAGGTGACCGAAAAGAGGGAGAAAAGCACCGCAGTCCTGCTGAGCGAGGAGGAACTGGTAGATCTCCTGAGGAAAGAGGCAGAAGAAGACGAAGAAGCTGAAGGAGAGCTGGAGGAAGAAGAAGTGGAGGCTGACAAAGGCAAGGTGGAGTCTAGTGAGGCTGAAGAGATCACTGAGGGTGAGGACACTGAGGGGAAGGAGGAGAAGAAGTTGGTAGACAACTTAGAGGAAGGGGTGAAGGAAGAAAGTGTGGAAGATGAAGAACAAGATGTGGACAAGATGTCTCTGGAGGAAAAGCAGGAAAAGGTGGCTGGCAAAATGGCTGACACAGAAGAGCAAGCGGCACTTTTAGAGGATGCAGATGGCAGCACAGAATCAGAGATCCCGGTTGATCTTGACTATGCTGCTGATAGTGGCCTTCTGCAACCTCTACAGATTGTACCAGCTAAAGCCCACGCTGATGACACCCAGTCGAATTCAAAACCAGATATTAAAGAGAAGGAAGAACTACCCAGTATTGCTGACGACTATGAACAGGAAATGCAAAACACTGAGGCTGCAGACAGCGAGGAAGTGTCTGATCAGGACAAAGTCAGAGAGCCTCAAGAAGCAAAGACCAGCGGAGAGCTTGAATCAGGGTCCCGGCTGTCTGGAAAGGAGGAGGAGAAGAGCAAGAATGAGAGTGGAAGTCAAACCAAAAGAAAGACAAGGAAGCAAAAGAAAAACCAGAGGGCAAAGAAGCACTCTCCACAGAGGGATGAAACACAACCTGGGAAAGAGCCGAGACAACAGGATGCTCAGGAGTCTGAAGGCCGCAACATTGACAACACAGTCCACAAGGCAAAGAGGAGAAGGGCAGGGAAATGGGTAATGCTCACATCAACTTTACATTTACTTTGTTTTCAGAAGCAAATCATTAGTTTTACATTAACAACTTTCTATTGATTATGTTGGTTTGGTAAAAAAGACTCTAAAAACATTGTACACCACTAGCCCAGCTGTAAATGAAGACAGTGGAGACCAAAACTAGTGCAAATAGAAATATCTGCACAGAAACACAACTTCACATTAATGTCGATGTTGTTCTGGTTCTGCTGTATGTGCAAATTGGCAACTGTTAGTGCATCAACTAAAGGTGTCAATATGTCAAATGGTATGTTTATAGCCAATTTCCACTGCCCCCAAGTGGCCAAAAATGAAGTAAAATGAAAAATACAGGTTTCACCATGGTAGCTTGATGTTTACTTTTGCAGTTCTGCTGCAATCTGATGTGAATATACATCACTGAATAATTTTTCTATTTCTATTCCATATACTTTTCCAGGGTCCTTTAGTAGGTATGAATCCAGTGCAGATAAGAGCGACAGTGGATTTGTACCCCCAGTCCAGGCCCTCTGTTGGTGAAGGCCTGCATCCCTCAGAGACCCCTGCTGGTTGGTTTTTATTATTGAAAAGATAATGTTTCTGGGTCTGTTCATACACCCAGATATCCATGGGACAAGTTCTATATGTTAGTTAGACAGCTGTCAAAGAAAAAAAACGCTGGAGGATTATCAAATCAGATGCTTAACAACATTTTAAGTTTAAAACAAAACTGATAGCATGTTCACATGATGCCATTTTAAGCAATGTTCTTTAACTGACAGTTTGAAACTTCTAAATTAGAAATGTATTCAGTGTAGGCTGGTACAATGTTCCACTCTGAGGTAGTTTTGTATGAAACTGTATCTTTCACAAAATTGGATTTTGGTTTTGTGGGATACTACGTCCTCCATAGTGCCAGGTCAGCACCAGCAGCAGCTTCCCGTATACCCACAAATGCACTATCCCAACAGTCTCACAGGGGAATCTGCTGACTGGATCATTTTGCTCAAACTTCCGCATGAATAGTGCCACTCCGCTTCACAGCCACTACCAAAACACAGCTCTGCAGGCTTAAGGAGTGAATAAGAGAGATCAAGTTGAATTTAATCACTGTACCAACTCTAATGACAGAGGAATGTGGAGGACGATGCAGAGCAGTTCTAACTCACTGGTGTCAAGTGTCAGGAAAATATATGATTTACATTGCTGTTTTTAAAAACTAGATAAATTATAGGTCAGAGATAATTTCAGTGTTTGCCTTTTCTTTTAGATCCATGTGACAATTTCCGTTGCAAACGTGGGAAAACATGTAAACTTGACGCAGACAGTAAGCCAGGTTGTGTGTGTCAAGAACCGTCACAATGTCCTCCCAGCATGAATGAATTTGATCATGTGAGTATGCACAGTCTTTTTGATGACTAGACTGGAAAACTTAGCTTCTGTTTCATTAATGCTGCTACTACTGTTTCCACTTAGGTTTGTGGGACAGACAACAAAACGTATGATACATCATGTGAACTTTTTGCTACTAAATGCAATCTGGAGGGCACAAAGAGAGGACACAGACTGCATCTGGACTACACTGGGGCATGCAAATGTGAGAGTTTAGACTGTGTAGTTTAAGCTTTTTATTATGAGTCGGAGGGGGAAAAAAGTTGTTTGATACTTCTCTTTCTTCTTCTTTGTCAGTAATACCTGCATGCGTGGACACTGAGCTGATCCAGTTTCCTCTACGTATGAGGGATTGGCTGAAAAATGTGCTGCTGCAGCTCTATGAGCATGACTCCATATCCCATGGCTTTCTCACCCCTAAACAGCGTTTTAGAGTAAGATACACTAATATAAGATATACTCGAATTATTAATAAGATATATTTATATCTACAAATTGATACAGAGGTAAGCTTCTCAGGCATCTGTGCACCACTGAATTAGCCACAGTTAGGAAGAAGATGGTGGAGAGTTTATAGTACATTTTTAGAGAGATTAATATCTTATATGTTTGCTAATGATAAATGCATCAACCAACTAAAAAAATGTATGCAGTCTTTTCTGTACACGGAATGGCTCCATATAGCAGCATAACACAATACTTAATAAATCTCAAAAAATGTGATTGCTGCAGGTTTAATTAAATTTTCTGTATTATCATCAACAATTACTTTGCTGTTTGTTGTCATTTAGTCAGCAAGTGAGCTGGTCTGACAGTTAAATAGCACACAGGTGAAAATAAACAGTATGTTATGTCAGTGGATCAAACTGTGGCCTTTTGTCTTCTTTAGGTGAAGAAAATCTTTGAGAGCGAGAGACGCCTTCACGCTGGCGATCACTCTGTTGAGCTGCTGGCGCAGGACTTTGAGAAAAACTATAACATGTACATCTACCCAGTACACTGGCAGTTTGCCCAGTTGGACCAGCACCCCTCTGACAGGTACATTTGAATTTTTTCATTTAATTTCACATCCGTTTATGGTTCATTTTAGCAGGGACAGCACAAATTAGAATAAATCACACCAGAATTGGCTTGCAGCTGTGTGTATTTACTGAGACTAATATTTAATTTGGTTAACCATTACATTGTTCTCAATAACATCCCAAAATACTTTCCCTAGGTTCTAACCAGTATGGGTTTTAGAAACCAATATTCTGACGTTATGTGAATATAATCTAATAATATAGGTTCTGGTGACTTTATAGCTATTATCTGGATCAACTTTCCTATTAGATAATCACAGCATTGATTACAATCTTTGGATTGTTGACTGTATATTGCATGGACAACAGTAATCCTAAATAAATAATATGACAACTGAATGATCAAATCCAACCAACCCTGACACTCATGGATAGATTGTGTTGCTACCTAGAATTTGTAGTAAACTGCATATTCCTGAACTTCAATCATTCTCTGTTGTATCTGCAGCTAATCAATATGTTAAAGCCAATTCTGGCCCAGTGTAGCCCACGATTCAGTCATGATGTGCACTGCATGTGGTCACATCCAATCTCTGTCCACTGTGTGCAGGTTCTTGTCCCACTCAGAGTTGGCTCCACTCAGAGTCCCTCTGGTGCCGATGGAACACTGCACCTCACGCTTCTTCCAGGAGTGTGACGCTGACAAAGACAAACAGGTTTCCTTTAAAGAGTGGACCTCTTGTTTTGGCATCAAGAACGGTGAGAGCAGCATAATGCCTTTAAATAACACTTTAGCTTAGAAATGTATCAATGAAGTCTTTATATTAACCCAACATAATCACAAAGATGACAGATGAAATTTTTAATTTGTATGTTGCTACAAAATATGTTTGGAATTTGGTGATTTCACAAGCAGTTCTAATTATTTATTTATTTTTTATCATTCTAACTAAATAGCAAAATGTAAAAAATGTCAAAAATGTACATTCTTTCATGACCGGCAATATATGTACAATCTTAGTAACGATGTACCTGTTTAACTGTTTCTCTCCACAGAGGATATGGATGTCAACCTGCTTTTCTGAGCTTTGCTTTGTACTACGTCTACTACACGAGCTTGTGGAAGCTGCTCCAGCATCTCAGCTTGAAACAAGAAGCCTCCACATACCATTTGGCTCCTTTTCTTTATTTTGTCAGGTCAAAATGTTTAAAATACTCTCTGGCAAATAACATGAAAGAAATTCATTTTACCTCCTGCTATAAAGAACAGATGTTGGTAATCATTGCTGTTGTTTTGTGTCAGGCTCAGCTTGGACATTTAAATCGTTGATCTGTAATTTAGACTAAGCTGCTAGAATTGTGTTTTTTTTCTTTTTTTCTTTTTTAGGATATAAGTATTTTTAGACAGTTTTATCCAGAATCTGCTTTCTAATGCATTCCAACTTGGGGGAAAGTTTACAACAGCATATTAATAGAAAAGGCACTGTGCCCTGCTTTAAAAGAACTGTGGTTTGTATGTTAGAGTGATTTAGAGCAGAATTACTCTTTAAATTATAAAGGTTTAGTAGACAATTTAAAATCCTTGTGTTATACTAGTAAATGTAAATCTGTAACTGTGTTGCTTAACTGAGAAGCAAATGCTGTAAATGTCTGTCTTCTGATCTTAAATATAGCTCTAATTAAAGTTTTACGAACGGTTAAAAAAAATGACACAAACTATTTCTGTGCAATGATATGTTATGATCACTTGTGTTTCTTTAAAGTCCTGAAATAAAGAATTAGCCTCTTACTGGTTCATAGTCCTACTGGACCCCAAAAGACCCTGGAAAACGCCTCTTTATGGTCTAATAGCAGGTTTTATTCACTGGTCAGCTTCTGTGTGTCTTCATGAGATGAACATATATGCATGTCCTCTGGTTTGAAATGCAAGTCACTGATACCTGGGTTTGGTTTGCCACTTAATCCTGAATAATAGCCCTCTGCAAGGCAACAAAGCAAAAAATAGCCTGCAGCTTGGTCATGATGATTACAGTAACTTGTTGTTTTGAGATAAAGCATTGGACTCTGATTGGACCTTTCTTGGTGATCACTGAATCTGACACTCTCTATATAAGTCAAGAAAGAAGCAGCTCTTCGCTTGTCGACCGTTTGCTTTCATAGGGACACAAACATGTTCTGCATACTGTGGGTTATCTTTCAGACCCTGGCTGTTTTGGTGGAGGGTGGCGTTTCTTCAGGGAGTGCTGAGGCACTTGCCAAGGGGAGAGTGAATAACAATGGAGGAGCAGCAGCAGCCAACAACGCCAATGCTGGAGCTCAAAATGGGGCTCCACTGAACAGTGAACCCATTTTGGCACACATAGTCCAACTCGGTGGGGCATACTTTCTCCAGCCAGTTGGGAACCTTGTAGGACAGGCTCCTCTACAGCAGCTAATTCCCATTGTAGCTCTCCAGCCAGGAGGGGCGATTCCTGTGGGGCAGACAGGTGGCGTCACCGTGAATCTTCAGGGGCAGCAAGCCAGGGGTGGGCCGGTCACGCTGTTTGCGGTGCTGCCACAGAGAAATGCCGGAGGAGACCCTCAGCATGCCGTGTTGACTCCAGGCCAAGCCCAGCTGATCTCCGTGGCCGGGTTAAATAACCAGCAACAACTGGGTGGTGTTGGTGGGGGTGGAAAGCCAGCTGGCAGAATGAGGTTTCAGCGTTCGGTTGCAGCTCGCCTCAGGAGGACACAGCCTCCGGTAATGAAGGTGATGGATGAAGAAGAGGAGGAAGAATGCTCTGGGATGGAGAAGGAGGAGAAGCCAGTGAAATGAGACCACAAAGCTGTCACAAATGTCTCATGATTCTCTCCTACATTGTGATTATGAACCCTGTCTCATGACAAGCTGTTCATGCTTGAGTGCTATAAATCACTGTCATCATAACTAAATAGCCAATAAATGAATTTTAAAAAATTGAACTGCTGAGTTCTTGTTGGTTCCTTTATTTCAAAACATAATCACCTGTAGCCCTAAATACGTCTCTCCAAGTGTGCTTGACCAAAACACTGAATAAAATCAACCAGCGTCATGGGTGTGGCTCCTCTGATGGCTGTTATTTTCATGTAAGAGACTAGTAAAAATATACTCAAGCTTCTATTTTGAGTACGCTGTTTGTACCTTCTTGCAACATGGTGATTTGTGTCTCTAAATTCAAAAAAAAAAAAAGAAACATCCTAAACCCATAACTCAGATCATTTTCTGAATTCCTTGTGCAGCTGATTCCCGTTGAATGAAGTCTACAACATACTAAAAAAAATCCAACCTCAAAAATGATATTTACACAGGGAAATACCATTTGTCACAACATAAAACTGCAAACAGGAAGAAAATGTTTCTTAATTGGAACTGCATGACAGTATGTAATTAGTGTAAAGCTCCAGACCAGACTTCCAACAGGGTGTTTACCTGGTCTGCTGTGGGCTGCCCTGTCAGCAGCAGAAAAACCATTCCCAGACAGCCTCAGTATGTGACAAAATAACCAGCCAACCGCACGGGGAATGGATGTAATAGCTCCAAACATGTTGAGAAAATGTGCTGAGGAGAACATGACATTCTGTATCTGTTCTTGTCTCTTGGTAACATTTGAGGATTTTACAAATTAAGAGATGTTAAGATAAGAAAAAATTAGATAACTTTAAAAAAAAAAAAAGAATAAAACAATCTCCTGTGACACTACAATTTGTAATGTTACAGCAGCAAAAGATAGTACAAACACTTAGGAAATGTATTTTAAAAACAAAAACATAAAGTATTAGATTATATAAATAACAGTGTTGCACATGTCAGTGATGTTGCACAGATTCCTTTGTGAATAGAAATACTGAGAGATGTATTAATATTATTATTGCACAGATTATTATCTATATCTCACAGATTGTATGTGAATAGAAAATACAAATATATGTTCTAGTATGTGTAGAACAACAGATATTGGGTTTGGGTTTTAAAAAAAAAAACACAGACTATCCATCATTCACAGGATGTGTCTGTATTGTACCGAGAGAAGTGCAACAGTTCTGAGAGTTGCTGTGTGCTCATTAGGGCTGAGTTGACAAAATGGTTCATTTAAGTGCTGTTGAGGCAAGTGAGAATTAAATTGAGACAATTTTAAACACATCGCAATTTACAGTTAGGCCTTTAGGCATACCTGAGACAAGTATTTTCCCTTTGCATTGCTAAATTATAAATATGCACTTCCAGACATGAATTAAATTTCATTCATAATTGGTTTGGGTAAAGCTGCTTGCTACAGTCAGTAAAATGTTTTAACACACACACACACACACACACACACACACCTGTTTTTCATGGTTTAATCTACAAAAGCACTTGAAAATGATGTCACTTGTTTGCCTCCTGTAACCACAACCCGCAACTCTTAAATGGTTCGTTCTGGTTTTTAGTCAGTTGCTTCCAGAAACCTCCAGAAACCCTCCCAAGACACTGAATCATTCTGTTATTTTTTGCGGTCACTCAGCTGTGTGGAGAACAATGTCAGATGGCAGAGCAGGGTCAAGTGTCTTTGAAACTAGGATCGCACTGAATTACATTTCTTTAAATCTTGCATTGTAGAAAAATGAAGATGTCATATATCACAAGTTCCCATGACACACAGGTGACAAATATAGTGTGTGAACAAGTCAGTGTTCTCTGCTCTAATTGGCTCATAACAATCTTCTGTGACAGATAAAAGGTGCTCTAAATACAGAAGGTTACAGTGATCCTCCTGGGTTCATAACTTTTGAAGCAAGAAAAGAAGCAAGAAATATATGGTCTGTGAAGTTTTCTGTTTCTCCTTTTACAGATTTCAAAGTGCAAAATGAAGTTTCTTCTCCTCGCCACATTTGCAACCATCATCTGTTATGTGAGTATGGACTATCGATGTGTCTGTCTGTCTGTCTGTCTGTCTGCAGTGTAACATCTTGTCTTTTTTCTATTGCAGGCCAGTGCAGGCAAGGTGAGCTACAATCAGACTTTGACTTTAAGCACATTAATCAAGGTAAGGCCATAATAAATAAGACATGACTTTTCCTGCTCCACACAGAGACAGAGGCTCATCGTAGCCATGAATGGAGGCATGTTGCCAGGTATGAATGGAGGAGTAAATGGAGTAAACCCCGCAATGATGGCTGGAGGTCTGAACCCAATCGTGGTAGCTGGTGGTGGAGCAGGTTTTATTGGGCAGCCCCAGTTTGCTCAGGTCAGTCAGTCGGGTCATCATATGGTCAGTTGTTAGAAATATGACACAGTCAGCTTCATGACACGTCTCAACTTTTGAAACCATTATTGGCTAACTGATGTAAATTCAGATTGTTGCAAACTCAATAGAGATAGCTAATAGAGCTATCTCAATATGAGAAATTATAGCCAAATAACACTGATATTTCTCCTCTCACAGTTTGTTCCTGGAGTTCCTGCATTTGCTGTCCGGGCCCCCATCCCGAACGTGTACTCTGTACCTGCAGTCAATACGGTCAGTGTGTTAACAACACAAAACTCATGTAATATTGTTTAACTCATGATTCTGATTTGGATCTTTCTTGTTTACCACCAGCTTCCTTTCATGGGAGTTCCTCAAATGGCCCCAGTGAATCCTCCTCAGCAACCTCTGATGGTAATGTCTCACCTTTTTCACAACATCAGTTACTGTTTCTCATTTGTAGAAATTTAAGAAATTACATGAAATTAAGCGTTGCTATCTTGCTGTCTTTGTTTAGGGCGTCACAGGTGGTGCTGTGCCACAGCAACTTCCTCTTCAGGTGGATCCACTCAGAAGATTCAGGGTAAGAAACATTCAGTCTGTATTCACGTAGACTTTGAATTTAAACTACACTGACTATATGTTGCTCTGTGACTCTTCAGCGTGAGAATATGAAATCAGAAAACACCTTGAAGGCTACTGTGGATACTCAGGTGAGATTATGTCAACCACAAGCAACGATCTTTGACAGAACTGCAAAAATAATCAGCACTGCCTTGTTAGGTGTATGCTTTTTGGCCTGTTCTGTTTCACAAATTATTTTTTTATTTATTCACCCATTCATTCACTGTTGTTCATTATTCCCTCAGATCCCTGCTCCCACTATGTCAGCAACAACAGCGGCCCCTTGTGATAACGATGATGACGAGAGTTAAAGAGACACTGTTACTTTAACATGAGTGTTTACATTTGTAATATCCAGTATCACAATAAAGCTTGACTTCTGTGACTGCATATGTCTATGATATGATGAAGGATGAATACAGTGGTTCACTTTATGTATTACTTATTTTGAGAGGCCAAAAATATTTCAACAATAAAATCAGTTAATTGGTTAACCTGTTTGTTTTTTAATTAATGAATTCTACGTTTGTATTTCAAAGATTTCACACAAACATATATATTTTTAACCAAAACATTTTCACCAATTCTATACAATTTGCATGTAACGTTTAATGGATCTCTGCTGCCATCTAAAGGACAAAGTGTAAACCCCCCCCCCCCAAAAAACCAAACATGATACAGAAGTAGGTTTTGTGACATAATTGCAAAAACTACATACAACAAGCATGCACATCCATGTGATGAGTTCTAGGTGCTGGACAACAATATATATAATCTGGGGAAACAGAGTCCACACTCAAGTATAGATGCTTCCAATAACCTTTATTAAAATGTTTACCCTCGAAATGTCACCATGAGGGAGTAATTTTATTCTGATTCTCAGGAGTATCTACACTATTGTCCTAACTTTTCTAGCTCTACAATGGTGCAAAAATAGCACCAGAATCAGACCTAATAAGGCCTGAACTACAAATAGGTTACACTTTCTGAAGCTGAAGTTCACTCAGTGTTTGATTAAACAGACTAGAGGACTCATAGCACATAAGTCACCTAGATGTGAGCTGGGAAATCTGTCAGATAAAGTTTTGCTGTTTTTTTTTTATTTTTTATTTTATGGGTGGCATAAAATAACATCAACAACAACAAAAACAACAACAACATAGGCGCACAAAATGAAAATCAGCGTATGTCATAAAAAAAATTTTAAAAATCAGTGAACAGCAGATTTCATTAAACTGCTTAAGATTCACTGTCCTGGTATTGTGCACGCTGCATGACTGTCAACTTAAACAGAGCTAAAGCCATTGTTTTTCTGCTATCAAGAAGGCCTACTGGACACATTCACAAACATGTTTAAGCCCAGATGTCATTTAAACCATAGAAAATTGCATCAAAAAACTGCCTGCAATAAGAATACATGTTGAATTGCAACAAACACGCACACAGCCAGACTATTTCTGTTTTTCTATCCTTTACTTCAGTCCCAACAAGGTCAACTATTCGCACGATGATTTGCCAATTAGATGCCAATATCAGTGTGAGCATGATGAACAAATGTCTGACTATAAGCTCCCAACTCCTGTTTTTCTTTTTTTTTCCCCCATGACCTGCCAAATTTTCTTGCGGGTCTTAATGTCCATAATTACACACTGAAGTGCTTCATTTAAACATATGCACATACAATTCCCCTAAGAGAATATGTAGTGAATGAGAACTAGTTCTGGCCAATACAAGCAGATCCCAGACAATCTGACAATTTTGTAATCTGTTTATGTGAAAAGTGCATAACATTTTAAAATAGAATTCTTCAGAGACTTGTTAACAACTTGAAACAGACCATGTCATGGTGTTTAGAGACATGACTTACATCTAATGACATACTTACCTGTCCTGTGTTGTAAGTGTCTGAGTCTGATGCCATGAGAAATGTCTGTCATACTGACCACATATTGTCTGGATGGGTTGGTGGTGGACTATAACAGCTGGCATGCAGAGAATTTAAAAGGGATGTGGACAAGGTGATGAGACAGGCACAGAAAGGGAAAGCAGAACTTGAGAAACGGTAAGACGAATTTGTTTCAGTGAACATTTCTTTGTGTATTGGTGAATTTAAAAAAGGGTTATATGAAGCTTTAAAAAAAGTGGGTGACTTTATTCAGTTGTCTCATGTTTTTACACCCTGCAGGACATCATGAAGCTGCAAACTGCCCTTCTACTGATCTGTCTATTGAGGACAAGCTTTGCTCTGCCAGTGAGTTACATCTTTATGCTGCTGTATGATATATGCACATATTGTACAAGCTTAAAGAACTGTTTCAATGCTATTTTTAATGTCTCTTTTACAGTTGCAGATTGGAATCATTGCAAGCAATAGCAATGAGGTAAACAGCAGTTTAAAAAAAATCATATCTGTTTGATGTACAATATGGAATAATATCAGTCAGTCTAATTCAACCCTTGTGTGTGTGTTCAGATCCTGAGACTGAATGGATTAACTCTTGCAGCTCTTGGACAAACACAGGTACAACTGTGCCTCCACAAACAGCATTGTTTGTCAGATGCTCTTCTCTAACCACCACATGGCTGTTTGCTACCTGGAGTTACCCTGTGCCTTCCTTACATGAATTCAATAATGTCTGCTTTACTGAAACATCTACCCATTTCTTCTCCAGGGCTCTTCAATAATACCCCAGTATGTGCTGCAGCAGCAGCAGCCTGAGGTGCTGCTCACCCCACAGGTGGTGAACTTGAACCCTCAAGTTGCAGGTCCTTTTGGTCCACAGGGGCCCCAGTTGTTGCTTCCCAACCAGGGCAACCAGCTAACACCTATGCTTGTCCCCAACGGCCAGCAAGAGCAGCTTGGGCCTTCACAGGACCCCAACAGTCCCAACGTCCCTCAGCAGGCCCAAAACCCCATGCAGGTACAACAAAGCAGCCCGGAGACACAAGAATTGTGCCGTTACTTCATGTTACTATTGGAGCAGCTGCAGAAATAGCTTTACTAATAATTGTTTTCAATCTCTTTTAGATGTATCCACAGTTCCAGTATCCATCTTATAGATTTCCTCAGCTTCACAGGCAGCAGGTATGAAACCATACTGAAGCATACTGGCCTGTGTGCAAACATAAATATCTTTATTTATATGCTCCCTGCTGATTGAAATTGTTTCTGTCATCCACAGGGCTTCCCTTACTTTGTACCACCATATGGCTATCCTCAGCAGAGGAATACTGCAGTGCTGCAGCCCAACAACGGTCAGCAGAACCTGGAGAGAACCACACAGAGACCACAGCTCCCTCTGCAGGTCAGACATGACAAATAACCTCAAGTACAGAAAGGAGGAGCTCAGTCTTTCAATGCTTTGTGATGAAGGACAAACTTGCTTACAAACTTCACCTGAATTTTGTGAGAAATTTTTAAAGGCATTTTGTTGAATGAACATTTTCTTGGTTAAGACCAGCACAGAAGTGTTCAGTGACCATTTTAATGCAAGCTGACAACAAAAATATTCATAGAAAAAAGTAAAAAACAAACAAACAAAAAAATAAATCTAAATAAATAATGTGTTTCGTATCTTACCTTGAATTACATTTTAGAACTTATACAGACACTGATGACTCAAAGGAAAGACTTAATGATAATAACATAGCTGCACGCTGAGTCATGACAGTGTGAATGTGGTGACTGTTACGCAATGACAGCTATCTGCCATACTGACCACACTGTCTGCCTGCCTGTCTGTTTGTCTGTCTTAGCAGGGGACTGCTAAAAGTTTCTGCTTGCTATAGGGACTCTAAAATGAGATGACAAATGCCAAGACATTAATTATTATTAGTATATATGCACTTTTAAAGTCTTGTAATTGACTTTTCATGCATTTCATCTAATTTCAGCAGGCTTCCAAGCCGAAGCTACAGACAGAAAAAGTGAGTCATCTATCATTTGTTTTTCCTTATTTAGCTAGTTAACCAAAAAAAGAATAGAATTATGTATCAGTTTGCTGTAATAGTTGTCCAGGCTTTGTAACATTGTTTGTTTTACTGTGGCCGACTTCAGACATGGCCACAGGGGACACAGAAAGATTCTACTACAATACCTCCTGATGCTCGTGGTGACACATCTGGGCCTGGGATTGATGAAGTATATATATATATATATATTTTACAACCTTTAAAGCCTTTACATGCTCATGCACATGTACACAAATAATCTTCTGTTACATGATTGCTCTCATTTACTGTGCAGCACTTGACTCTGGATTAATGATCCGCTGTTTTTCTTTTATTTCTGCAGGCTAACGCCAGCTTCCCCTTCCTGTTTGAGCCTTAGACGTCATCTGAGAAATACTACAAAGTGACTTGGCAAAAATGTATTAACGTGTTTGGTGCACTGAAACGTGCTGGAATTTGCTCTTTTCTTTTCACATGTTAAATAAAGAACTTTGCCAAATTCAGTAGATCGAGTGTTTTATTGTAGTACAAAATAAATATTGGCTTAAGTGGAAATTTGTGAATTACATAAATGACTTCCTAGAATACGCCAAAGAAAAATGTGAACGACAATCTCACAATATCACTCAATGTGTGGAAAATGATTTAAAGGTTGGTTCCAAATATTCTCCATAAAACCTATTTGAAAACAAAAGAAAAAAAAACTGGGTATACAGTCTAACATGGCACAATATGTGTTTAAATAGCAACATACCAACAGAAAGTCTTGTGTAAAGGTTGCATTAGAGTGAGAATAGAAACCACGAATGACATACTTTAACGATAAATATTGCACAAGAAATGAACAAATCATGCATACTTACAGGTTTCAGAACTCCTTACCCAACAAAGACTTCATTCTTCAAAAGAAATGAGAGAAATTATAATTGTTATTGAAACACCTATTAAAAAAACAAACAAAAAAAAACATATACGTGCTGTAATCAGACATTACCTACATTGTGTGTTAAGCAAGGAGATAAGTGCCTCTGTGGTGAGGAAATGGGCTTCATGTACTGCTGACATCGAAATGAGGAGTTACAAAAATCAAAAATCACAGTGTCTATATCAAAGAGCAAACCAAGCAAAATTCTCTACAAAACATATCTAAAAAAAAAAAAAAAAAAAGCATAAACAACCCAGAACAGACATTAGGAGTTTTTTTTTTTTTTAAACATATATATTGACTGAAATTAAAGTTAAGTTAAACAGCCACAGTTTCCCATTTCTTCTGAGGCCTATGTTTTCTCCCTGTAAAATAAGTAACATAAAACAAACAAACAAAAAAACAACAGAATTTTGAGCTTTCATACTGTAATCACTAAATGTCAGAACATTTTTTTAATGCCTTATTACAATGAGATTCTCTTCCACCAGGCTGTGTATAGCCATTAGTATCCAACACTAATGCAGGTTTCTGCTTCTTCATGTTTAATAAAACTGTGTATTTAAGTTGCATCTTCAGTCACCTTCCTTTAGGATAGGAAGTATATTGTCACCCTGCAAGATTTTCACATTGAAGGTCAATGCAGCCATAAAAAAAAAAAATCCAGAGATTGCGTTGTTTGCAACATAAAGTGAATAATGTCTCGACAAAAGACTAATGACGTAACTCAGTCATATTTTGACCTGCTTTAAGGGTATACTGGTGACATTCTAGGAATGAAACCTACATGTTTAGTTGAAGAAAACACACATACTCAGTGAGGCCACATATAATGTCATACACAAAATGTTGTACGGAACAATTTACTTTTAGGAGTAAACTAAAGTGTTTGATGGGTTAGAGACCAAGCAGCAACCCCCAGGATTGGAAAGTGATGCCAGCGTGACGGTGCCAAAAAGTGCAGTTGAAACAGTTTATGGAGATGGTGTGAGGAGTCCTTGACAATGTTCAGTGTCCTGCTCCTGCAGCGGCTCTGGAAAAGTTCAGAGCTAGCTGCCTGTCTGTCTGCCATGAACAATGTCGTCCCCTCCAGCTGTATGGCCGTCCGGGATGTTGTCATGGAGCCATGTTTCTGTTAAAGCAAACACACAGCAGTCTCTCCACTCTCTGCAGGTTTCTCCCAGCAAACGATACTCGTCCAGCTTGTTGTCAAGGGAGAGGACATTGGAGAGTAGGAACGACGGTCCTGCTGGTGTGGAGGGGTTAATCTTTAGCCTAGCATGGATCTCAGCTCTCTTCCTCCTCCTTTGTTTATGTTCGTACCCTTTGCGCTTCCTTCTCTCTCGGGTAACTGCCAGCTTAGTCTCCGATCACACTCCGTGTTGGTGTACTATGTTCAAACCACAACTGAGCTCCGTAATTTTAGTGACGTTCACTGTCCTGATGTTCATCAAAGTCTCTCGGCTATAAGTTTTGCGGAATGAATGTCTGGGATAGGCAAGAAACTCAAAACGTTCACTTTTCGTTGTCTCCTGAAGGGGCCACTGCGTCCATGCACGCCGCCATCACTTGAGGCTGGTTCCAAATGCAACTCAATCCTCACCAACACAAAATGGCAAAACGTCTAAATGCTTAATTTTACACCAGAAACAAACATGTTTATAATCTGGTACAAAACACACTTTTGATCTTTACATCTAATTCAACCATTTACGGCATACAGTGGGTGGATTTTTATATAACTCATTGATTAAACTCTCTCCCGATGTAAAGTTATACTTGGTTAGGTTCGTGACCACTTTATATCATGGATGGTTGCCGGTTACACTTATGCTGGATTTCGTTTCTCATTTTGGATTAGCCAGGATATGGGCAGAGTCAGGTATTTCCAAGAGGGTCACAGCCAAAGCCACTACACCGTTCAGGAAACCTATCAGTGATGTTACAGAGGGTTCATCCATCTTTGTATAAAGGCAGTGGTAGAGACACACTTGTGGTTCCTTTGTCTTACTTTTGCATTTCAGTACAGTGAGAATCACTGCATTATAATGTGTGCTTATCTTTCCATCATGCTGCTAAAGTGTTGTGAACAGTAAATACCTGTCTAACAAATTGTGCTACAGTATGACACACAGCAGCAGACCCTAATTGCCACTCTAGAGAATATTGTATCATGTAAATGCAACAATAAAGTCCTTCGTTTCTTAATTTTGATCTTTTAATATTCCAACTTGATTCTTCATCTGTTGATATTTAAATTGCAGCACATGGGCTTCTTTGCAGGTTTCTTAACAACCAAATACTGCCAACTTAAAGTTATAGTAAATTAAGCTAGGTCCTGTTTTGCCTTTAATTTCATTTATGTGGGGCTAAGGTGAAGGCAGTTCAGTTACATGGGAGTTTTGCTCTTTTCTGTCTTTTTTCTTTACATGTTTGACTGTGTAAATTGTGGTATAAAATATGTGTTGTACATTTTAGTACAATCCCCCTGTTCCCTTGATATCACAAAATCTGTTTTAACAGATTTCATTATGCTGACACTTCAATTCTATCAATAAAGTTAATTTTGCCAGCTTAATGTCCTTATTAGCATTAGTATTTATTACATTTTTGTATAGGGCTGGAACTGGTAGTATTAGGCTGTTTAAGTGAAGATTCTGTTTAATATCTATGTAGGACATATTTTGTTGAATATAAGTTTCAATTTTCTGTCATGTATTTTATTATAATTCTGTTTCTAATATATTATTCTTCATCAATAAGTGGGTGTCATTCTGGCTTGGAAATTTAACGAAATCCATCATATAGTTTCATCTTGTTTATTGTCTGTATTGGTTCTCCAACATCAAAATATCTATGTGTGTATATAAGCATTTTATAACAGTGCCTTTGTTCTATTCTTCAGTTAGTGCGCTTGCTTTTGGTTCATTTCCTATTCCTATCATCATATTGTTTCTCATAGTTCAATGCCTACAGTTTCCTTTGTGTCATATCAATATATGTCTTTTTTTTTTTTTTTACCTCTAGATGTTTAAAATCATCTTAATTGCACTTGCAAAGCACACTATTAGCTGTTACGTGTACTAAGCTAAGCCAAAAAGCCCATTTTGCTGTTTTGGTTCTTTCCCACTGTCGCTGACCGCTTGCTCTTAGGAAATCCAAAGGCAGCTTTGGATTGTTGTGTTCTCTGTTTGTTGTTTGAAACTCCTAAAGTCTTCACCTTGCTATGTGAAATGCTATGAAATGATATATGATGTGAATTGGCACTATATAAAGAAATAGAATAGAATTTAATTGAAATGATTCCTCAGTTGCTCGTTGTGGAAACAAACAAAATAATGTAACAAGAAAAACTTAACACACAGAAAGGCATGTCTGCTCATGTCTGTTCTGCAGAGTCTGCATACATGGATCTACCTGAAGATGGGAACTTTTCATCTTGCCATGGCCTCCACAAATGTGACTTAAAAACATAAAGACAACGCAGACTTATAAATGACCCACTTAAAATGTCAAACAGAGTTTGTGTAATTTTGTGTTTGTCGAGCAGTATCGACTGTAACACTTGGCACACTCGTTGTGCAACTATGTGTGTGCCCATCATGTGTTGATACCTCTAACATCTGGTATTGAGATACACCACAGATTTCTCAAAACAACACTGCTTAGTCAGGTCTAATTATGGTTTACCAGGATGTCCTTGACACTTTGTTTGCTAATGCCATCCTAATCAATTTTGATCCCTTTTCTAAGCAACGATACACGATGACAAATATGATGACAATTTGACTGGAAGCAATGAAATGAAACTTGAAAACGTCATTACGTGATCTTCTGACATGGGGTGTGAAATGATGGGGTAACACATCCATCCCATTCATCACCAGACACACCTTGAAGCATGGTTGGTGGGAAATTCCTTAATAATTACAGTTTTTCCCAACAACGCTGCTCCTGAAAGTGTATATAAGAAGATCTCCACATTCAGAGCAACACTACAACAACCTCCCTGATCACCTGTGAGACAGTCTGCTGAAGCTGAGACTTGACGGTAACTGTATGAATGTTTTGTTGCAATATTTTCTGTGAGAGGATGGTAGAATCATTGTCTATTTATTTTGTTAATTTTTACTTTGACCAACTAGTTTATTTGAGCTCTAAGTCTTTATAATTATTACTCTTTCAACAGATTTGATCACTGAAACCATGCTGAAGGTAGCACTTGTGCTTGGATGCCTCCTGAGCCTCGCTTTGGCCAGTCCTGTAAGTGAGGCTTCATTATACTCGATATCATTATCAGTGATCAGAATTTGTAGATACCAGTATCATTTCTATTATTATTAAAAAGTACTAGGCAGTGACTTGTGGATTTTCTACAGATGGATGTGGGGCACAAACGCGTTGCTCGCTCAGACTCCAGTTCTAGTTCTGATTCTGATGAGGTGAGTTCCTTCTTCATCCTTGGAATCAAACCACACAAACATTAGTTACTGTAAAATTTCTGAGACAGTCCTCTGCTGTGTTTTTGACAACAAATGTTTCTGATATTTTTGAAGGCTACCACTACCACTACCACTACGACTGCCACTACGCTGACTCAACAACAGTTACTACAGCTTCTTGCTGCCCTCCTTGCACAACTGTCTACTACTACTACTACAGCTGCAACTACAACAACAGCTGCAGCGACTACAACAACTGCAGCGACTACAACTACCGCCACCACAGCAGCTGCAACTACTGCTGGTGCTGGAAAGTAACCAGAAATCAATACATAAATGAAAACCAGTTTGGAATGGAAAACTTGTTTTTGGCTCTGTCTCGTGTCAGTTTGTCGTATTTTGCTGATAAGTTGCTTCGATTTTGTCAGCCCCATTCCAGTTCAGTAAAACATGTGGATCAAAATGTTATATTCTCTATAGCATCTATCAAATAAACCTCATGAATGAAAAAAATAGATCAAGTCTATGTTTTTGTTTCTTACATGTTTTTTTCTTTACATGTACATAATCAGTTAAGAATGTTCTTCTTTTGTCATCATGTAACGTAATCTGACTGCGTCCTTAAAAAATTCTCATAAAGTTCCAAATAAAATATTACACCTTAGTTACCTTTTAACCTTACAGGGACATTAACTGAAATGAAAGCTAGCCTTAAAACATTCGATTTGATTTGATTACGATGTTTTCTTTAAAACATTATTAGAACTTCAAGGTAAATTCAGCCACTGTTGTTGGAGCGTTCTATGCTTGCTGGGATGGTGACAGTGAGGTACAGTTTAATATTTTGCTAACTAAGGAAAAGTGAGGAAATACTTTTCTATGATTCGGGCAGTTCATTGTGCAGTATGATTTATGCTAAAATGACTTGACAACACTTATTTATCATCTCACACATCATCAACAGCTGTGGTGAGATATTTTGAACTGAAAATAATGGAATCGGGGCCCTGTCTCAAAAAAAAAGTTGTTGTTTTTCAGTGTGAAAACCCTGAGATCAGAGAAACTCTGGGTTTTCTGTTTCAGAGAGAGATAACTTAAACTTAGTTACCACGGTAACTGACTCTGGAAACAAAACCTCTCTCATGAAAAAAAAACTTTTTCTCTCTAATCCCCCCCCTCCTCTTCAGCCCAATGGACACATCTGACACAGCCTTGTTTTCCACATTCATACAGTCAGTATCAAAGCTCCTTCCTTCCAATACTCCACTGTTTGACCATAACCTCAGCTACTGCTTTACAATCGTCCCAACATATAGTTGAGATGACTGCATCAACTGTGAGAAGCTAGTAGACTTTGTTATTCCATCCTGCTCTGAAATCCTTGACTGTATGGATCCTAAAAAAATACTTAACAGACAAAAGACTAACATCTCTTACACCCTCTGACTAATCAATTCCACTCGTGCCATTAGAGGAGATTATAGAAGGGCTTACAGAAAAAAAGACAAGCTCCAGGTTTTATAGGAAATTTTACAAGACTGCTTAAGGCAGTATCAAAACACCGTTCAAGCTAGAACTCAATGCTATGCGGAATTATCCTTTTCATGCCTTTGAGCTGTTGCACGTGAAGAAGAGGTCAAGATCAAAATTAAACACACTGGAGTGTCTGATATAATTAGATTTCAATGCATTTGTAATATCAAAAAACGCCTATTATTTATATGTTGCATTTTTTGATATAGTTTAATTATTTGCATGAAAATATAGTTTGTTTTGTTTACAGTGGGCAGCTTTTAACAAATCTATTAGTTATTAAATTTGTCCTCTGTATATAAATGAACTCTTGAGGCAATGAGTGGAAGACAGTTAAGTCTGTTATTTCAGTCTCCCCTCCATATCCACCAGTGCTAGATGTCTAGAGGGACATTTTTATCCCATTCAGTGGTATTTTATTCTCACAGAGATATTTGGACAATTAAATCATTTTAGATCTGCATTTAACCTGTGTTTTTAAACAAAATTTCTGTCTGCTGTGTTTTGGGTCAGCCTAACTCAGTGGAAACCATTACATTTTCCTTACAGTCACAAATGAAAGTGTTCTACTGAATGAGTAACTGGTCTTAGCAATGTGCAGAGGGCGGCAAGCACAAGACACAAGGGGAGGAGCAAAATGAAGAACGGTGGCTTTCTACCTGCTTGGCAGAGAATAGGCACACATCTGGCTCTCAAACCACAGTGAGATTTAGGGAATGCAGCTTTCAAAGAGATAAAGGAACAGATGATTGAAGTGAGGGCTGCATAGTGTCTTGGTGGTTTGCACCGTTGCCTCGCAGCGAGAAGCATCCCAGTTAGGATGGCCAGGATTTTTCTGCTTGGAGTTTGCATGTTCTCCCCATGCAGCGTGGGTTCTCTCCGGGTTCTCCGGCTTCCTCTCACAGTTCAAAAACATGTTGAGGTTAATTGGTGATTCTAAATTGTCCGTAGGTGTGAGTGTGAGTGTGCTTGGTTGTCTGTGGCCCTGTGATAGACTGGTGACCTGTCCAGGGTGTCACCTGCCTTTTCCCTAAGTCGGCTGGGATAGACTCCAGCCCCCCCGCAACACTAGTGAGGATTAAGTGGTGTATATAATGGATGGATGATTGAAATGACTGAGACCATTTGATCACAGCTGAGGGACACTGACACTAACACTGACACAAACCCCATGTCATAAAAGCACCCTCAAATAATCCTAGTAAAAAGAGAGGTGGTGGCCCTATGAAATATAAATAGGACTCTTAAGGGTGCCCAATGTATAATACTTACTGTACCAGTACTGAAACTGGACATTTTAGTCGGAACTGCCCTTCTGGGGCCTTGGCAGCAGAAAGGTTGACAACAGTCTCCCGTTGCACATTAAATCCTGTTCTGCGACTGCAAATTTCAAATCGCAAATAAGCTTGTACTCTTTCCCCCTTGCTTTCAGCTCTTCATGCAGCAGCTTTTGTCATATCCACTCTTGGTTTCTCTGGAGTGTCATATTGTTTTGTATTGACTTATTTTACTTGGTTTGATCTTTTTCGCCTCCATTGTTGTCGTTCAATGTCTTTTTTTTGTTGTTGTTGTTGTTTCTTTTTTTATTATCTTAACATGGCTTCACCTTAGCTATTTTGTTTATATGGATGGAATTCTATTCGCTACTGCATACTACTTGGTATCTTCACTCTTTTGCAGTTTGTGCTTTAACCTCTCTGATCTCTCTCTTTCTGCATCACTCTGCATGTATTTCTGGCTCTGGATCTGCAATCTTCCTGTCCCGCCAATCTGACCAGTGTTTATGTTCTTATGCTTGTTTGTCTCTGATTTCCTTGTCTCTCACTCCTACACTTATATTGGATGTCTGGAATCATCTTCTGACCAGCCTCTACTGGACTTTACATCTCCATTGTCTGAGGCTTTTGTCACCAACGGCTTATCACCAAAACAAAAATGAAATGTACTCATAAATACATGCCATGAAAGCAACACTCAATCTGTCACCTCACTTTCCCTGTTAAGCATTCAGCTTGTGTGCAACATATGAACTACATTATGGCTTTTAGAGGGAGGTCACTTTTTTCCACTGACCCTGAGGATTAAGTGGTGTATAGAGAATGGATGGATGGATGGACATGACAGGTACAACAACACTGCTGCCCACTTTTAGTACCATAAAGGATTAAAGTTGTTCTTACTGACAATATTTTCACCCCTGAGAAGCAAAAACAAGTGAAAAAAATTGTATTTAGTAGACCTCGTTTCTTTTTCATCTTGTCATTTCTGATTGAAACCACAAAGAGAAAGCAAAAATTGCAGATTTGGAATTTTAAGGTCACCCCAAAGAATCTTGGAAAGTTTTTAACATCAAAAGTAAGACTCACCTAAGCAACTACTGCTGACAGACAAACACACTTGTTTTGCTTTTAAACAACCCTGCAGGGAAATATTTAAGATGGATTCTAAAAATTAATTCAATAAAACTGAATTAGCAGCCTTATGTTGAGACACCAAACATTTAGTCACACTTAATTATGGTAAAAACTGCAATTCCTTCACACTTTGTTTGCTAATGACTTCTGAATTTAGTTTGATCCCTTTCCTTAGCAACAACACATGACAACAGACATGATAGCAATCTCACTGGAAGCATAAATAAAAAAACTGGAAGTTGAAAATGTTCTTTGCTCAATATGTGAGCGAGAAACGTTAACACTTGTTTGAGCAACTGAAGCCAGAATAGGGACCGATTTCCTAAAACCGGAGGCGACAGGCAGAAACACAAACTGCACTGGGTGTTGCCTGAAACTTACCTGAGCCACTAAGTCATTTGATTTGCAATCGTAAGACCAGGTATTTCCACATTGTTACATCTGTTTACCAATTTGCCAACCCTGACGGGTAGAGACTGAACCTACATGTCAGTGGTAATATACAACGTTTTCTAGCTGTGCTAAAATTAATATTTAGATTTTAAATTTAAAACAATTCCAATTAGTTCTTAATGAGTGCAGCATAATGCCTCCTGTTCAGTGGAGTATTCCATGAACACCACTGATGATTTCTGTGCTGGACAGAGAAAGCTTTACTTAGGTTGACTTTTGCTTGATGCTTGAGCTGTTCCATGAAGACAACTTATCCATACCTCGTTTATGTTAACTCAAGCCCGACTTGAATACTCTCTCGTTATGTACAGAGCAGCCCAGAAGAGACAGTTGACGAGTACAAGATACTGAGGAATGAAAACCAATGCTCTTTTTTCAAAATCATATACATGAGAAACACTCTCTGATTGTAAAGATTAGAAAAACTGTACCACTTACCCTAAGTCTACCTGTTTAGCAGTATATAAATATTTTGAATGCACTCCAGTGTGCCAGAAAAGAAATTGGTCAGCACATATTTTCTTTAGGAGACATAGTTCATGTTATTATCACTGTGTTTTATTATAATACTGCTAGAAATCCAAAAATCTCTGCTGATTGGTTGACTGATAAATAAACACATCTTAAGTGTACCTGGACAAATAAACAGTGTGAAATCCTGCATCAAACATCCCACATCTTTGGCTCAAGTCTATGGAAACATCTATGCAACAGCTAGTTTTGATTTTATGCTTTGCAGTTTGAGCAAATGAGGGCAACTTTGGAAGGAATAATGTAAAAACACATTTTTTAATATTTAAAATAAAAATGCATTTTAGTTACCAAATGTAACAGAAAATCTGATTTACCAAATGAGACCATCAAAAAAAGATTCTTACAGGCAACTCATATGCCAATAAATAAACTATGGGCAGTTGCCGCTAGTTCCTTCATGAAATCACAACATGACAAAAACACAAGAGCCTTGTTAAAGGCCTTGTAGGCTCTGAAACGCTTAAGGAAAAAACAACACAAAAAAGCATAGGAATGGTAAGCTTTTAAGTAATATGAGCACTTTCATCCACATGGTTGAGAAAGAATGTTTGTGCCATGACTTATTTGTGAATAAAACGGTC